ACGCTAAACCTGGCGTAGAAGAGCGGCGGAGGGTTTAGGTTTTTGTTTTTCTAGAGAGAGAAGAAATTAATTTTGGATGTGTGATTGATTAGTGCATGCGATAGTAGTCTTTTATACTGTCAAAATTTTGCATGGTTTATTTGGGAAACTGGTTCATCCGGTTGCCGGTTTTTCCGGGATATTATTATTTATTATGGACGGTGCTGATGCCAATCATTTTTTCTATTGCCAGAATTAACATATTACTATCACCCTTTTGGTCATTATAACTTACAATTTATCTTCTCCGAAATGCCCCTTCATATTCTCAAAAATTCATTTTGGCACTAAATTTATTGAGAACTTGATATTTGGAGTACCAGAACTAGCATATGATCGGGGGGTCACTGCCCCCATAACATTTCTCATAAACCTATTGTTTTATACTTTAAATATAAAAAAGATCGTGGATAATAGCATTAACAACTCCATAATCTTTTTAATGCATACGACTCACTCGAACTTAAAATTATGACTCCGCTATATATATTTGTGTTTACATGCATATAGGCCCCTACATCATCCCATTTCATTTAGGATTAGGAATATGAAGTTTAATTGGACTTATTTTTTCCCCCATATATTTCATTAGTTTTTAAACGCTATTTCACCTAATTTTGAGCTTTTATTGAATTTTGATTGGACATCTATTTATTATACGGTATTTAATATTTCTTTTAAGTGGAATTCTCAGAAAAAATGGCAACATCTTCAACCAATTCAAATATCCTTTGTAAGTATAATGTGATTACTTGCATTAATAATATGGTATATAAGTTGCCTGCCATCTCATAATTTATGTATGAGGAATACACGGAATAAAAATATATTTTTATAAAAAAAATCGTGTATAGTATAATTAGCAACTCTTCGATAATTTTTTATTGCATACAGCTCTCGCCTCACGAACTTAAATTCCTAGCTAGTGCACTAGTGGTTGGGCGTCTCATATACAATGCAAATGGTGAAATGAATGAACTCTAAGTGTGTTACATGACCACGAGTGCCAACAACTCCACTACCAACAAAGAAGAAAGAAAGAAACACACAACAATTATTCAAGAAAATTAATAGGGAATTAAACTAGTGCAATAACTCCAAGGATATAATTGTCATGTCCACCAATATGAAATCTGGCAATAATAATTAGCTCGGCATTATGCGCCAGCCAATCAGATAGAAGGGAAAGTGT